GGATCCTTTCCAAACATGTTTCGGTTCAATAAGATGCAACAGAGTCACACGCACACACACAGTACAACCCCAATGCCATGAAACAATCTTGACCATTTGGACAGGCAGTCCCCTTTCCGCTCAAAATCAAAGACATTTTGGGAGCTTCAGACCGGGCGAACTGGAATATCCGCAAAATGCTTGGTAGCCTTTGGGCTCCAGACCGTCATATTTATGTTCCATTAAAGCGATAAGATCAAATCCTTGATGCCTGGCCTCTTACTCTGTTTCCTCCCGTTTATTTCCTTTCAGTCGGTGGCAGATGTTTGAAAGGCACAAGAAGAAGTCCATCAACGCAGCACTACCAAAGAGCCAAATTATGATTGGGGAAAACAGGAAAATAATCTTTCATGGGCAAGTAATAGTTCCAGCTGAAGCGAATGCAGCCATTAGACAAAGGACACAAGAGAAAGCAATCGAAAATGGGCACTATCTTTCCAATTATCAGCATGGCGCATGTTCTTTAGCGCAAGCTGAAAAGGACAGGTTATTAAGCTTTAATGCTTCAAAGCATGAGGACCATTCAAGGCCTTCCTTCTCATTAGACCGACCACCAGGCTCCCCGTGTGTGCGTGTGTGTGTGTGTGTATGTGCATGCGCCAGCGAATGCATAAGCACACATGTGCAAGTACACGTCCATGGTTAAGCGCCTCACAACACAAAAACACAAAAGGCTGATAAAGATTGCGTGAGTGCCGGTCGGTCTGTGTGGAGATTCAGTCTACAAGGGCATTTCCCTACATACCGTATACCGACCGCCATTAATGCATCAACGGCGAGAGAAGCCTTGCGTTCCTCATCAGACACTCGACAGAAAAAAAAATGCACGGAGGATTCTCGAAATCCTTGAGCAAAAGAGGGAAGCATTTGATTTGATTGATGTGTGCAATGCTTTGTAACCATGGTACAAAAAGCAACGTAAAAGCAAAAGTGCAGCCAGCCCTGGTGGGAAATAGGCGCTAATTTTGTTGCAATGCAAAAAAAAAAAAGCCCAGCCAAATGAACTTTCGTCGGTGGTACATTTTGCAGCGTATGCGCTATATCTGAGCACTGGTGTCGCCAAACTCAGAAATCCAAGCTATGTGAGCTAATCCAGCCGCTTATGAAGCTTTCTAGAAATGAAAAAGGATAAGAAACGAGGATTGCAGAAGGCAGGAAACGGGGTGGCGGGGAACTGCGGTCGCCCTAGAAAAGCGGCCCGAGCTAAACGGCCCACGCGCGAGACTATTCAGTCAGGTGCCGCCATGCGAACGCATTAGCGGGACAGAACACTGTCTAACAGCCAGCTCAAGTTCCTCTGATCAATGAAGAAGTATTGGCAGCGGCGCTTCTGCTCAGTCGGCCACTAACTTCCCTTCTGTCCATTTCTGCACCAACGCGAGCGCGCGCACACACGCACTGGCCCCAACGGTCCGATGAAGACAATTTTCCATAGATGGGATGATTAATGCGCCTGCCCGAAGATGCTGATGGAGATTGATGCCGCCCGCTCCGCTCTCCATGCCTAATCTTTCATCCTTACAATAAATATGGCACAGTGTCCGCATGCATGCAAAAGGCGTCTGATTACAAACAGCTTGCAAGCCATCGTCCCTTTTAACGATTACATCCAAAGGCACTCTCTCTGTCAAACGGCCGTTTCCCGTAATGAAATTAGCCCGTCTCACTGTCTGCGGGCTCGGCAAGGAGTTTGCGCCAGGGTCAGCCGTCCACGTCACCCTCATTCGGTCGCGTGAATGCAAATGAGATGCAAATCGGGCTAAAACTGAACGCTGGTTAATTTGCCCTCCTGACATTGCAAACAGTCACATGGGGGAGCTGGGATGCAAATGACATGCAAATGACAACTGACGGCCCTTTCTTCCACTGGCTAAAGGGCGGCGGCTTTTGGGTTGGGGTTCGGTTCGGTTCGGTTCTGGTTCTTCTCAAATGTTTTGGTGCATCCAAAGTGGAAGCGAAGAAAGAAAACGCCCACTCCGAGAGGAGAAGGGGCGGAGTGGTGGCCAAAGCTTCCCAACAGGCCTCCCGGTGATGTCATCATGCCTGGAAGACCGCGGGGGGGAAAAAAATGCAAACCCGCAAACGAGGAACAAGAAGGAAGTCGACGTCACATTCCAAGCGCTCCGCATTTACCAGAAGCCAAGTCCACAGCATCATCTGGCTTCGCACGTTCACTTCTCCAGAGAGTGGAAGTCCTTTCAAGCCCATACAAATGGGCAAACGTGTCAAGTTGACACAAGGCGCATCTTAAGCCAAATACTCCCGTGAGGAGGTCAAACCTTTGTACGGACAAATCTCTAAAGACCACGTGACAGGCAGGGGGAGGGGGGGGGGATCACTTCCTCGAATGTTCAGCCCATACACCTACAGTATGGATTTGTGCACTTCATTGATCGCCCCTTACAAGCGTCCACTGGGGTTGAAAGTAAATGAACCGCAGCTTCTGCTAAGTACATCACGTTTTTAATAGGACGCATCTTCTATTCCGTGAACAGTTTGGCGCAAAACTTTGGTTTCATCTGCTTTGAGATGGAAAGAAGGCAACGCGGTCGGGCCTCGCCAGCAGTTTCAGGGACACGTTGTTCGGTAGCCTTACATGCGGCTGCACGTTAGCGATCTCTGACTGCGACTTAACAAAACCCGCCAAATGCCTCCTGGAGAACGAGAGAAACAACATCCGCAGCCTTCCTTCTCCGGATCTCTCGCTTGCTCTTATAAGATCAAGTGTATAGAATGAGTCATCTGGACCCGACCTCGGATAACTTCTCCGCTGTGCTTTTTATACCGAGGAAGCACCCATTTGCAGAGTTCTTGGATAAATCTCCATTGGTGAATGAGAGTGCGAAAAGAGAAGCAGAGAGGAAGAAAATATATTTCTCCTTTCCGAAGCATCTCAGGTTGTTTTCATTTGGCTCGCTACAACTTGGCCCCGCATGCGAGTTGAAATGCACCCGTTCAACAAATTGGAGACCGCGGCCCATGCACATGCCGTGAAATTGATCATATTGAAAAGGGCTGGAAAAAGACGACCTCTCTTTCGGCGCAGTATTCGCTGAGAACACGAGCGTGCGATCCAAGTACCAAAGCTGCTCCGCTTTCCCGGCTCGACGCAGGAAGCCAATTCCAGCATGAAGTGGGTGAAGCCGGCCGCATCATCTGTTTCGGGTCAAGAAGTTTCAAATGCTGTCGGAGAACACTTAAGGCACTTGCTTTTGAGGCCTACTTGTCCCCGCTCAAGACACTCTTTGACCCCCACATACTCTCCGCCACTGCAGACACACACACACGCACACACACACACACACACACACACACACACACACACACACACACACACACACACACACACACACACACACCTCAAGTGTTAACTTTATATCGAAGCCAGATGAAAATGGTAAAAACTAGACGATACTGATGACCTCGTACATGCAAAATTGTTGACGCAGCACATGTAGTGGCTGTATCAGATTTTTTTGGGTCTTTCGCCAGGTCATTTGCACGTTGACCGAACCGTAGTAAAAGCGCAATCGTGGCAGAGTTTATGTGACGCGGCCTTCAGCTCGTGTAACGACGTCAGTGGCGTGTAGGGGCAAAAGAAAAAGAGGCGGCAGGTTTGTTTTGAAGCACCACGTGGCTGATCCAGGCATCGACAGTACTCGGCCCTCCGCAGGGTCTTCACTGAGCGCATATTTCTTTGGTGTACTCGGGCTCGATGAATCAAACTACAGTCGTCCTGCTCTCTCACTTTTCGCTTCATTCATAAACCCAAAATATTTGGGAGGCAGCCGATTGGTCGGTGTCAAGCGACGCAAAAATACGACGCGCTCTTGCGAGCCAATGCAAGGCGAGCTGTAGGTTCTCTCCCACCCTCTCTCTCTCGCTCGCTCTCTTACTTTCGGGCTCCCCCTTTAACACGCACTCATTTTTTTTGTGTTGTTTCACTCACTGCCTGCGTGCATTGCAGAAGTCGAAACAACGGGCCAGCTTGGAGCAGAAGTCAGCATCCACCCCACTGCGACAGTATGCTTTGGACAACAGGGACAAGCTAGGTGAACTGCATTTTGAACCCCCCCCCCCCCCCCGAGGAGTGGTCTTAAGTTGTGACTTGGTCCCATTTTCCTTTTCAGCCCCCCACGCCCTCCGTCTGTGTATTTTCTTTCCCCTCCCTGGCGTTTGTCGGTTCGCGACAAGGAGATGCACTCTAAAAATGAAAGTCCATCGACAAATTGATTGAGTGATTGACAGCTTTAATGAGTGATCTTTATCCGTGTCCTTTGGTGGCAGGGGGCGAGGCTGACGTCAGGCCTAATTCAATATGACCGGGTTCAATATTCACAGTTGTTTTGTTATCCCCCCCTGCACCCCCACCCCCATGTGCAAGATCTTTATGGCACACAAAGAGGAAAAAAAACAAAACTGAAACACACGTAAATCAATCACTGCAGTGATCCAGTGACTCTGTGAACTCTGTGTGTTTAAGGGGGAACTGGGTTGATTGGGTTTATGGGCGTTTGGAGGAGCAATACTTCCATCTATGGACCAGAGTGGGTACTCGAGCCTCCCAATGGATTACATCATCAGGTTGAGCTTGCTTTTATTATGTTGACGTTCTAGTTCAGACAAAGAGAAGCAGTAACTCTGAACTGAACCGCTATGATCAAAAAAAAAAAAGATTTCAAACATTGATACCTGTTTTAGCGTCAGGTATTCCAAATTCACGTGAGCACAAAACAATACTGTCAATAAAGGTTGAGTGGTCGGGTTGTCTCACTTTTGCATTGAATTCAGAAATGACCATCGCAATGTGAAACGTCCAATATTACAATACATCCTGATTTATATAGCGCTTTGGTTTATATTCCATTTCCCCGAGCACTTTTGTGTGATTTTTTTTTTAAGCAGTGATTTCTAAATCCAAGCGGTAATTACAGTGTGATTTCTCACAATCAAAAACTCACCCTCTGTTCACCGTGGCAGCAAAATCAAGGGTTGATCCATCATCTCAAAGGGGCGCTGAGAACTTCTGCAGCTTGGCCCAGGTACTGCAGGAGGGAGAGAGAGACTGGTTATTTATGTTTCAAAACACCACAGCCTTGAGATGATGCTTTGGGTCAGGAAGAGTGCAGCATTACACTGCCATCTAGTGTCGACAGAGACATGTGCAGGCCATAAATGAGATTTACCAATAAATTTCCAAGATCATGCTTTTCTGTGACTCGTTTAGTCTCTCTGTTGCAACCTACTCTTGACACTTTGTGACACCCCTGCGGCCTGGTGCACACGGTGATTTTTCAATGTTTTAAATATTTGTTATCTGTTCCAGACTCCACGCATTAAGATTTTAAAAAAAGGGCATTTAAGACTTTTGGGTACTATTGTGGATTGTGTGCGACCTGCGCCGAGAATATCCTCCGAGACAGAAATCTCGCGTGATCACTCGACATCTCCCCAGAGCGAACAACAACAACAACAACAACGACAACAAACGCTCCGGACTAATGTTATCCGATTGCGTACTGAAAGGAGCGCAGCCGAGAGTGTTGCAAAACGGCAATGTCAAGAAAAGAAATTGCTTGGAAAAATACATCTTGCAATCTGGGTAACCACATTTATGTTAAAAAAAATGAAATTGGTAGGACATATTTGGCTTACAGCCGCAGCAATAAACACATCCTGACCTTTCAGAGCTTTTATTTCGGTATTTCTGGTTCTCGGCGATTTGAATTTGTGTTCAGGATGCAAATCTATTTTCACGCGATACATTTTCACGTTCGGGAGTATGTGTCACATTCGATATGTGGAATGAACTATTCATCTCCAAGTGGACAAATGGGCAGTGACCCAAAAAATGCACTCGTTTATTCAACATTGTTTGCTCTAAACTTTACAAAATGCAACTGTTATTTTCAACGTGAGCCGCTTGACAAAACGCTTTGTTCCTAATAGTCGCAGGTGCGGAACGTAACAAACTTTGTGTCTTGAGTGGCGAGCTCCAAACGAGACGGTCAATATTGGGTTTACAATCTCGAAAATATTCAGTTTTTTAGCCTAATCATTTGGATGAAGAAATGTATTAAATGTGTACAGTATGGTACTACTGCACTGTAATTCACCTTGGTAGTACTTCTGCAGTCGTCGTCGTCTGCAAATGTCATGTGCAGTGTCACAGGTGAGCTCGTACCGGTGATGACGCCTTAAAAACACACGTGCTCAGAACGAACGAGGCGATGTGCAACAACATTTTGTGCTCGAGGGACACATTCGATTTAAAGATGGGACACGTTTTGGAGATGTGAAATTAAATTTGCAAACGGCCATTATGTACTTTGCCCACCCTTGGTGTCGGTAAAGGGGTTCATTTCAATACAAGTATCTGTCACTTCTAAAACTGGTTCAGGGACTAAACCGTTCCATTTATCAAGCCAGAACACAATTATTTCAAGGCACTTTTTTTATTTTCAAGCAGGTGCCCCCCCCCCCCCCATTTTTAAAAACCAATCTTTTCATTGTGTAAAGAC